CCCCCCCCCCCCCCCGCGACACCCCTGCACACACACACACACACACGCAGGCCGGTTTAGTTTCTCCACGAAGGGACCATTTACGGTCAGTGTCTGGTGTGCGACGGTCTCGCGTCGTCGTCGCAACAACCACGTTCACTCCTTTTATTGCTGTGTATCCTGCGTGGGGTTGTTTTTATGTGTGGCGTGAGAGGCTGGGCGCGTCCACTTGACTCCGTCTGGCCACTTAAATGTCTGTCGCTTGCCTTGAGCGGCGTGTCTGTTGGCGCGCACCGGTCAAGACTGTGCGTGCGTGTGTTTCTGACTCCATAATATCACCAATTCCTGCGACAGATGACGAGTTGCCCTCTAAATCGAAACACCTATGGTAGTTTTGATGGTTTCATCGGCTGGTACTTCTTTGTCATCAACCAACTGTTCCTGAGTCGGCCACAGCCGAAAGTTCGTTTTGTAAACTACGTGTCTATAAGCCATTCTTAGACTGTGTTCTTCGCAATTTCATAAAAATCCGTCTTATTTCACTAGGCCCCAAGGTCACGAAATCGACCTCGTTCGCTCATTGGAGGGTCGAACGACCTAGGAAATTTAACTTCACGATTACCAATTATTTGAAGGTAAATTAGCACCATCAAGAGAACCTTTATCATGTCTCCTAGATACGCAACGAATTAAGAGCTAATCGATTTTGTTGTAGGCACTGTGAGTTCATTGGTGAGAGCTCCTTTGCCATGAATTATTTATTTTCTTCTCCTGTTTTCGGCAATTTTCTGCGTGCTTGCTACAATCGGACGTCTGTTTTTAATTGGCTTGACAATCTTATGACTATGTCCTTCACAATTTTATTAAGAATTAACAAATTTCGCGAAATCTCAAGGTCACGTTTGCTGATTGGAGGATCGTTCGACCCAGGGAAGTTGGTTCCATAGATCTCCTTTGAGCGGATTATAACCAATCATATGCTAGCAATTTAGCATAACCAGCGTGATTATCTTTTCGTTAAAACCACCGCGGTATCATTGGAGAGTTCTTCTTTGCCGCCAATCGCTGTAATTTTGCGTGTCCCAGGACCATCCTATGACTACCTTCTTCACAATTTTATAACAACCCGCAAATTTTCACGAAATCTCGTTCGCTGATTGGTGGGTCATTCGACTTATGGAATTTAAGTCCTTTCCAGCCAATAATATGCAAGCAATTAAGCATGACCAAATACTCATTTTCCTATGTCACGACCACTTCCTGGCTAAGCATTGGTGTGGGAGCGTGGAATTTTGTGGGCGGCGTCGTTGTGTGACTGGATTGGATCGGGGTTAGAGGACGGGGACGGATGGCTCGTGGAAGCGCAGTGAATGCGACCCGCCCACAATCTCTCTCGCTCTCTCTCTCTCTATGCCCGCGGAGGTGGGGGTTACGCCGACAACGACGACAACGGCGTTCGCACACACTTTGATGTCTTGTGGATGTGTTTGCGGCACCGCCTTTGAAGTACTATGGAGGAGGGTGTATGCGCGCATACGCGCGCGCGTGTGTGTGTGTATGCGTGTTCAAAGATGCTTACGGACGCCGAACTTTTATTGGGGAGGGTGGCGGGGTGGTGGTGTGCAGGGTGAATAATGGCCGAGCGGGACTACTACCACCGCGGAGGCGCACTGTGACCTCATGCTCTCTCGCTCTAGTGCCCATCAGCTAACGCTTGCAGTCGGGTAAATTCGAGGGCCAGTCAGACAGAATCGAGAAGACGTTCTCTCGAACTGACTACACAAGAATGAGGAACGTTTTCGTGTGATTTTAATGCTAACGACACGTAGAATCAGAGAAACCAGGTACAAGATGACACACACACACACATAGGTAGATAATCGCTGTTTACTTATCTCGGCTAATGAATAGGGCGTTGTCCTAGGGCCCTTTGAATGATGGGCGGTGTTTTCCTAAATGTCTGCTCACTCTCTACATTTGGCGTACGGTGTTTGGTCAATTCCTCCGGTTTGTGTACCGATCCTTTGATTTGTATTAATCTTCGTTTTCCCTCACACGATCTCGTCTAGGCGCTTATTTTTTTCAGTAAATAAGTCTTCAGGTGAGGAATGAGTTTAATTCTCCTACTGGACCTACACTTTAGAGTTATCGCGCCCCGTTGACGCAACACTGCCCCGTCGCACCACCTCTTAACCAAGAAAAGTCGTGTTTGTTGTGGCTCGCTTGATTTCCAGTCGGCAAACCTATAGTGGATAGGATCTAGCAAAATAACATCAGTTATTGGTTAATTCAGTTAACCAAATATATGTGTGTTAATTGCGAAAACATTAGTTTTACGGAAAGTGGCCTGCGTAAACAGCCGCCGCCACTACCACCGCGACCGCCTCCTCCTCCACCACCATATTTATAGAAGATAATGCGTTGTAATTCGCACCAGAAATAACGAATTCATGTGTCCGTTTGTTTTTGAGATAGAACTCACATTCGTGGCAATGCGACATGTCTTTGAGGCGATCGCTTTCATGAAAGGAATTGACAGGGGTACAAGGCACGCTATTTCGACGATATTGGCAAATCTGATTTGACAAAAATGGCGCGAAGAGTTGTATGATTTCGTCTGATTCACTGATTACGGCGGTGCCTGTGTGTGGGTCTCGGACGGTGTTGTGCTAGACAGGTACCAGGAGAACAGAGGTGACGGAGCCACAGACCTCTTCTCATTGGCTCAACTCAAGTCCGTGTGTCGTATGCATCCAAGGTCTTCTAAGCTCCTGACACTACGTCCACTGGAATTTTGAGCACACGGTAAGATCCTCAGTCACGTCGACGATAGTAATGGTGTCAGGGTGGCTGGAGGACCAGATCATGCAAGCCGGCTCACCAATACGTGTTTGAACATTCTTCGACAGTAATCACCACTTGATTGTTGGATGGAGCCACAGTTTACGAATTTCTGGCACTGCCGCTTATGTGCAGTTTCCTTAACTTGTTGGAAATCAGCGAATGTCTGCTGTGGTCACGTCAATCATGCAGTTTCGTGAGGGGCAACCTGGTAGGCTGGTTGTGTGTAATCTCCGAGCCGTACAGCATGCTCACCAGGGCCTCTTATCAACTAAATTTATCAATTTGCCAGTTTATTGCCCCCGGGGGGGGGGGAGGGGGTAACATCGCCGCCATTTGCGCAGGCGTGATTTCTGGCCATAAAAGACACGCGGAAAATTCGAGGTGAATTTTTTTACTGTGGGGGGAGGGAGATTGTGAGGGTTTCTTCCGACGCCGAAGGTATTTCGACTTGCGCTCCACACAGACCCCGCCTCCGATTCTATTGGTCCGCTAACCACACGTCTGCCAGCCACCTGTGTGCCGTGGGCGGGGGTGCAAGTAGAGCCTGTGCCTTCCCCCACCTTCACCTCCGCCCTTTGGAATGAGTCAGGAGGGTACGCGCGGGCGCACAAGATCAAAGGGCGTGTACGTGGCCGCGCGTTCTCGATCAGGCCTCATTAGCAGCCGCGTGCCGTATATCTGCTGACAATTATGCCAGCCGTTGTGTTTATGGTGTGTGTGTGTGTGCCCGCGCGTAAAGGTCACTCGGCAAACATTAATTTCGCATTACTCGACAACTTGGATGCGAATGGAGATGAACTTCACAACGGCAACGTTATTCTGACTCAGCCATCGTTCATCACCCACGCGCGGTGGCGATGGCTACCCAAAAGACGCCAAATTTCTGGAAGCTGTCTGAAGTAGGAGAGTGTGAGGTGTGGTGGACATTGCCCTGGTGATCTGTCGGCTGAAAACTCGGAATACCTGTTGGTTATTTCGATTTAATTTTAGGGATGCAAAACCTGATGCGAACTTAAAGTGGTGCAGAATACTGTAGGTGAAATTGGTGATTTAATGCGATAGACGTAGCCCTCTGAACCGGCAACTGGCAGACGCAAGGCCTTAAATTCGTGGCCTGATATCTTTTCAGTGCAAAGCAAATCCGCGTCCCGCGCTGCTTAAACTAGAGTGAAGTGCAAAAATCGATACTTGAATTTGCAGCGTAATCTGATTGGTCACTTGAGCTTCGACCGCCAACACGAACAGACGGTCACGGGCTTAATGCAACAGCCGATTTAGTGATAATGCACTTCAGACCGAACTGACAAAGTACGTCAGTTGTGTGATAAATTGAGGCACGAGTCGAATATTCAGGAATGCAGGGATTCGCCACAGTCACGCCACCACCCACTTCCCCCTTTGACGTTAGCACAGCCAACTTGGAATTAGCGGAACTTCTGAAAGCAGGGAACTCTGTTACAAAAATGCATGTTTGTTCTGAAATGCCAAATTCAGACGTTTTATTTATTAGTCCCAAACAGCAGGCACTATTTGCGATCCGCTTCATTCTGATGGTGAACAGAATGTGGTAAAGAAATTCTCCAAAAATCAAGGATTGATTTCGTAATATTTTTCTAAAACACTCAGAATTTAAATTGGCCGCCAGAGCATTGATCGCCAGTGCTAGCAGATAGGCGTTGAAACAATCACCAGGGGTTATTTACCAGACATTTGTATATTGTGCGTTTTGCGCGCAGTGACCACCATATCAAGTCATACGGTGTTAACAGCACGTTCTTAGAACAGTAGGTGTTATTTTTAACTACAATTTCCCTAAAACGAGTCGTTTTTTTTTCTACAGTGGCAACGGACGCCTGGTATCGATTCTCGCCATTCTGGGATTTGTCGTAATGATGGCGCTTGACGTAGGATTCGCTTCGTAGTATTATCACATCTGCCTCAAAAGAACTTTCGATTCCGACCTTGTTCGTTTATACTGCCCTAACCCTGTTGCATATCAGGATTGTTTTGAGAATGCTACCTCAAATACATACATTTTTTTCAATTGCAGTGTGACTCATTTCACCTCGTTGGCTTTCTCTTCGTCACTAGACCAAACGGAACTAGAGGTGGTTTTTAAGAAAATTCAGAAGCGCTCTGCCGCCCTATTCCAAATTATAAACACAGAAAACGTAGCTGAGTAACAATCAGTACGAAGTGTTTTGATTTGTTGAGGTGATGCACCTGTGTTAGATTTCTAATTTCGGTAGATTAGTCGATGGTCGAGCCAATGAAGTGCCGTGAACGATCTTTCTAAGAATGTGCGTAGAACGAGTCAGTGCAAAACAATCAACCAATCGGATTTACGAGTGAGTAAGTCGTGACCAATAGGAATGACGTCGAGGTTTTGGCGTTTGAATGCGAACAAAGCGCTGCCTCACGCAAACATTGACGCACGATTCACCAGGTGGTCCGGTATAAACGACGGGGGTGACTGTCGTAGCACCCCCATGGTACTGGCCCGGGGCTGGTTGCATATGCGCTCGGTGATCAGTTCCCGTGAACTGCAAATTCACTGCTACTCCCACCACCACGATATGTCAAAATAAATAACCCGATTATTTAGGCGGTCCCATAAAGATGCAAACGGCCACCGGGTCGTCCTCAAATCAAGCCGCATGAAATTCGAGCCATTTGTGCTACTTTACAAAACATGAAATTTGCGATTCGTTACGCTTCTTTGAAAGATGTACTCGAAGTGTTAGTAAAATTGGCTTATTGTGGAAATACGGAAAGTGTGTGATGAATTCGGATTCGAAATATGAGGCCTTCTAACTGAATTAATGCCGGTACACACGATTTGAAGGCGTGGTGAAACGGAATTTTTTGCGAAATTCCTGTTACCGAATACCGGTCAGAGGTGTGCAGGATGCAAAATGAATACATTTTGCGGCACTTTTTTCCATTAAATCAGACTGATATCGTTGTCTGTGCATTGATTTTAAATTTTACAGGGTCTTAAATACTATGTTTGCAAGTTGTTTGATAAAAAAAACTGCTGGATGTGTAGTCAGCAGGAAAAAGAAGTGATTTCTACAAAAAATTGGAATCTATACTGATAGATAAAATCGTTACAAATACAACGTCGATTATTTCTTTGCAGCAGTATTGGGAATAGCTGCCTCTCTAATGCGATATACTCAAACAAATCAATAATGTCAAAGCTGCATCTCAAGTATTGATTTTTGTTTATTGATTTTCACTGACACGATCTTGGTTTTTTCCCACGCAATTTTTCTGGTTGTCATGTGCCTCATCAAATTGATGACCTAGACAAGGTAGGTGCGTCAGTGTTTAAAAAAATCAATACTCTACCTTTAAGGTAGTTAAAGGGATTTTAGCAGTCCACTCATCAAAGCGACGCTTAAAAGTGTCAAACGATCAGCCGCATGACTTTATTTGTAGAGATTTATTTACGCAACTGAAATATGGTTGCGGAACACACACACGCACACACACACACAGCACTTCATAGCAATCCCACACGACAAATTCTTGGTGTTTGATTTGAATTTAATCATCCCATTTTGTAAACTTGATTCTTATATTTCAATCTATGTGTACGTATTACTGATTGAAATCACGTTGTAGAATCACTAGACGAGGCTTAGGTCATGGACAGCATCAGTCCATACTCAAGCACTAGGACAAAAACCCAGGTTCCACACATAAACCACAAATCAACACCCAGTAATTCTGCATTAATTGGTGTTTTAATATGTGAAAAGGGAGACTGAATTTATACTTAAAATAGAAATATTTTTGCTGCCTTTCGTGATTTTGAAAGGATCGCACGCACGTCTAAGGAACACCGCGCTACAATTCCACACGAGTTACATAATCCCTCACAATAGCAGAATTTACGATGCCAACTGATGAATGCCACATTCGACAGTGAAGTTTTGCGAATTCCTACAGGGCAAAAGGATTCTAAAGCGCACGGCAATTCAATTTGTAGTGTTCTTGGTGCTGCCGACGTTGTGCCTTGTGAAACGCGTACTTATTAATGCAGCCGCTTCCTTAGAAGTGGTGACTTCGATTGTTGTGACCAGCCGCGACCCAGACAGCAGCCTCGCAAGTTTGAAGATGCGGAACCGCAAGGTCTACTGGATGAAGACTTCACGCAAGCCCAGCAGGAGCTTGCATCAGCTCAGTCACGAGTCAACCAAACACCTATTTCTAAACGTTCGCCTCAAAATGCAAAGTATCCACAACTTGGGTGCGCTGATCGAACATAACCTAAGTCATTGTATGCACACTTGCCTTTCATTGCTTGCCCACCGGCAACGACAAAACGACTCTTTGTGAAACATTGTAACAGGTGATGAAATTTACTTACCTTTTAAGAGAACTGCAAACGTACGAGGATGTCGTGGGTAGATCGCGGCAACCCAGTACATTGTCGCCGAAACAGGACACGCACTTGACGATGAAGGTTCTCCTGTGTATCTGGTGGGGAACGTGAAGGGTCTACCTTATTTAAAACTCTTAGAAACCGACCAGACGGTGATGACGGAACGCTGCAGCCGACAACTGTAAAGGCCGAGCAAGGAATTTGATCAGAAAAGACAATTTACTGGGTAAGGACGCAGGCAAGTTGTACTACTACTGCTGCATGACAAGGCTTGACCACCTCACGCGGCTCGCGCGACTCAGAAGACCCTCGTGAACTTGGGATGGGCTGTTCTGCCACACGCGGCGTAGTCACCAGACCCGCCTCCATCCGACTTCCATTTGTTTTTGTGGGTAAACAATTTAAAACACTGGACGATGTGCGTTAATTCGTCGTTGATGACTTGACTGCCCCGAAGCAAGCAAGTGTCTTTCGCGACGGCATTCGTACGTTACCTTCCCAATGGCGCAGGTTCATGGAAAACTAGGAGTAATATTTTCAAGATTAACTACTAAGTATCTGTACAGTCAAGTCATACACATAGTAACTGGACTTAATCGATCTCTATCGGATTGAAATTTTGGACACAATCGTTACCTCAGTACAAAAAAATTCTACAATCCCGGGCTAATAACATGGTCCGACTACAACGAACCCATCAGGGGCCAACGCAAAGGGCGAATTTGCAGAATCACAGCGCATGGCGAAACAAAGCGGCAGCGACGACGCTATCGCTATTAAACTTAGCGGAGATCATGTGTTTCCCTAGCCCCCTTCGATATGTCTCCGAGGCCATAAAGCTTGTCCGCCGGCAGGCAGCTGAGGCACACGAAGGGGTCGTAAAAAGAGGCACGCTCGAGTGCCGCGCCAATCTGTTTATTGTCCCGCCTATGCCTCTCACTCCACTTCACTCACCACCGTGGACGCACCACCACTAGGCCAAGGCATTCGGCTTTCTCAATCCACTTTGTGTGTGTGTGTGTGTTATTTTGTGCAGTGGTCTTCTAAGTGCGCCAACTGCATTCCAGCTTACACACACACACACTAGATGAACGTTCCGGCGGTCTTTTGCAAGTTTTTCGGTATGCAAATTTATCATACATGAAGGTGAATGGCGGGCATCTTTCAAGGAAACGGCTTGTGGAGATGTGGGTGGGGCAACATGAACGGCCACTCAATGTGCGTGCGTGCTTGCGTGCGTGCGAGTGTTTTGCAAACGAACAGCGTGTTTTCGTAAGTGTTGCGCTACAAATTAGCATTGTCAAAATACTGAATCTTGGTCAGTGCCATTAACACCGACTCGCTATTTGTTTAGGCTAGTGAAAATGACTGTAACGCTACATTACCTACGGGTGGTGTGAAAGGCGATGCCGAAATGTCGGTGTTGATGTGTTTCGAACTGGTATACCTTTACTCTTGCTTTCACCGCGTTGTCGCATAATGAAGTCGCGGTATCTCCTCCAAAGAAGTCCTGTTGCGATGAAGCTCTGGAGGTAATTAATCGTCCATAGCAGCAGATTCCCAGGCCTACTAGTAGATCTGCTCTGAAATGCCATCTGTCTTTGGAAGATGAAACCTGACGTTCACGAACAAGAAGTTTCATGGACAGAAGAATGTGCTGTTGACTGTTTGAGTGGGCGGAAAGGTGAACGTGTTCGTCGATAACCGTAAATCAGCACGGATAATGACTTTACCGTAATTTGAAATTGGATAAAGTTGTAAGGGTAATCTCTGGATCAACAGATCACTGGTGGAAGAAGTGCTAGTTCCCCAACTTACGTGGTTGACTGGTTGAGTTATTGTTGGCGGAGGGTCTTAATCGAAATTATATCTGTATTTGAGAGTAAAATTTTTTGTAGATTCCGTGAGTGGTTATTTTTAATTTCGATGTAGTTTACGCAGTTCTTGCTAAATACTTTAAATCGGAATAAGAACACTGATTATTTGTGCAAATTAGCGCCCCTAAAAGAATGAAATGTAACGAGAACAATCCAAACGTATGGCGAAATAGGAGTGCACACCTACTCTGCATTTTACCGTTTTTAACGTACAAAGCAATAAACCACCTTAAGCGTCGTCTTCTTGTAATTGGTCTTACGTTGAAAATGACCGGTTCAACGGTTCGACCCTACCCTGACCTCACTTGGGTCGGTCGCGTAAACCTACGCGAAACCATTATTCACGAGTTCCGGCCCACAGTCTGCAACCTCCTCTACCTCAGACGCCAGTCTTGTTTCTGAATTGCTCATCGTGTCTGCCCATTTTATGAGTTTACGTCGCCACACCCGTCATGCGTGCAAAAACAACCCGAGTTTAGTGGTGCCTTAAAAACTGGCAATAGCTTTTGAAGCAGGGCCGTGTTATCATGTCCATGTCCCATTCTTACGAGGTTTAACTTTTAACAAGAATCCACCAACCCGGATAACTCAGACCGGCGCTCTGATTGGTTGCAGCTGAAGGTCAGCTCCACTGACCTAGACATGATGCGTCGGTTTCCGCGTGTGGTTAAAATCCCTACGGTCAAATGCGTCACGGAAATTATAGTTAGCCACTGGAATCACCAAATTAGGTCATGCAGGACTTTCCTACTAGAATACCAATCACATTGTATGCTTGCATTCTTGACGCAAACGCCTATTTAAACAAAGCTGTGAAATCCAATCAGATTTGAATCGCCCCCTGAAAACCTGTCTTTAAACGAGACACCAAGAATCGAAGTCAAAACGTCACCTGCTGCGTGAGTAATGCTTCGGTTTATTTTCCTCTCAAAATCAAAGGCTGGCGCAAACAAATTCGGACGTAAAAACTCAAAGAGAAAAGAAGAAGTGTGCAGTTTTGTTTGTACAGATTTCTGTCTGATAAGAACTTGCAAGTTATGTAATAGCAGGTGCACGGTTAGCGGATACTTACTCCAATTAGTAGCAGTACGAGTTAATCTGCGAGGGCTGGGGGGGGAGGGGAATTTCGGCGCTTTACAACATTTGGGAAGTGGCGGTGGGGGGCGGCAGAGGCGGGTATGAAGAGTTTTTGGTCAGCAAATGCAAGAAGGCGTGAAGCCCACAGGAATGTTACCTGTGCTAGGGCGGTGATGACGACGGGACACTGTACATCCACTCCACGCTCGTGTTCTCTAGAGCACACCAAAGGCCGTCATTGTCTCGAGCTCCTCAACCTTGGGCTCAGAGTTGTGACGTCCGTTTCGAGACGTCCGTCTCTCCTGACTGCCATTCACCGCAGTCGTCGAGTTGGATTCACCAGACGCCTCGTTCAGTGGACTCAAAGTAGGTGAGAGTCCATTGCGAGGTCGCTCCAGCAGCTCGTTCTTCTCCGACACGTCGCCAGCCGTCGCCAAAGGTTCCGCGCTGCTGGGACCACAAGCGCCGTGGAAGATATTCGCTTCGGCGTCTCCAGTCATCTTCTGGGTCGCGCGTCGTGACCAGGCACGATAACACATGATAGTAGTGAGTGCCGCTAACAAGAAGGTTATGCACACGGCGACTATGATGAGCAGGTAGATTCGGGACCCCTCTTCAAGGGCATAGCCTTTGTCTCCCGCGCTGCCTGGGGCTCTAGCCAGTCCAGGTACTCCCAGCTTCGACAGCTGCCACTGGGAGAGTTGGCCGGGCAGAAGCCATGGACATCCGGAATTAAGCGAGGTTTCAATGTCGCGTTTAGTGTGCTTGGATTGACTGTAGAGACTCGAGTCGAGGATCTTGGCATGGAAGAGTTTGCCTTCAGGACCACAGAAAGTGGCAGCATCTGGCCTACCACGAACGGGCTCTGTGTTCGACAGGCCTTGGATGATGCTGTCGTTTCCAACTAGAGCAAACGGGTTATCCGGCCATCCATCCATACTGGCCCAGGCAGGAGGATTGGAACCCGGGGGTGCCACTATGAGATCAACTGGACCGTTGAAGCTGCAGAAGGCATCGGGTTCAATGCGTTGAATCGGGTTTGAGGAAATGTTGACAATGAGTTTTGGGAACGCAGCTGTTGGAAGGGATGAACCAAGCATTGAGAATGACTCTCTGGTGAGATGAGTTAAGCCGTTTCTAGACAGATCCAGTGACCTCAACGCAGGATAGTGTTCAGAGTAGTTATCTGGAATGCAGAACAATCCATTCGCAGACAAGTCAAGTTCCACTAGCTGAGGCATGGAAGTGAAACAGTTCTTTGGAAACATTGTTAGGCGGTTTCCGTGAAGCGATAGTTTGCGAAGATTGGTTAAACCGACAAAGGAATCAGCTGTCAGATTGCAAATCTTCAGCTCAACCATCGACAGTTCTTCGAGATGGGACATCCTCGAGAACAGCATGTCTGGGAATGAATCAAATCCGCCAAATGTTGCAGTGTCATCGTGGCTCATGAAAAGGTGTGTCAACGATCCAGAAAATGGGTTGAAGAGACCCGGTGAAAGACGCTGCAGCGGATTTCCTTGTAGGTCCAACTTTCGGAGGCTGCTCAAGCCCACGAAGGCCGTGTTCTCAAGGTCGGTGAGAATATTCCCCTCAAGTGAGAGCTCCACAAGTTGACTGCAACAGTCGGCGGAAAAAACCCCGTCTTCTATGTAGCCGATCTTATTGTGGCTGAGGATCAATCGCTGAAGTCTGTGCAGGCCAGAAAAAACTCCCCTCGTTAGCGAATGGACCCTGTTGCCGGAGGCAACGAGGTCATTCAAGGTACTACCAAGAGGTTCAAACGAGCCATCGCGGTAAGACTTGAGCTGTGAGTTATTTGACAGGTCTAGTTTTCGAAGGTTGCTAAGACCCTTAAAAAGGTTTGAAGATAGGTTTTGGATGCCGGTCCCATGGAGCCCCAGGACTTCAAGCCTGCGTAAGTCAACACAAGGATTGCCTTGTAGAGGGGTAAAGCCATGCGGTAGATGAGTTAGATTTGGTACGTCAACTAGAATAAGTTTAGTGAAGGGACCACCGCCGCCGCAAATACCTTCAGCAAGTAATCCCGACAAGTCCGTGACGTCAGAACCGGAGCAGGTGCACGTGCCGGAGGAGCACGAACAGCGCGCCGTAACCATGCAACCAATAAACACTAGCAGTAGAAAAAGGCACCAGATTGACCGCCTCCACAGACTAAGAGCGGATCGCATGTTGACGACGCAGTGCCTGGCCCCAGGTAGTCGTAACGGCGGAAGGTATTGCGGGTAAAGCAGACAACAGATGAGGAATTTGCAACAGCTGCTGAAGATACCCGTGCGCTTCAGTCAAGCCGATTGGCCGACGCACCTCATTGGCTAAATGTCGGCCAATAAGACAACGCAAACCGTGAGTCACTTCGCATGCGGGAGACACTTGTGTGTTTGTGGTGGGACCAATCGCTCTCGGCTTGAACTTGCGCACGAAGTGAACATGGACCCCAGTCATTAAGGAATAAAATTAAATAATAAGCTGTTCCAGCTGACTTCCAGCTGACTTCCAGCTGTACTTCACTGAATCCACACTGAAAGTACAAGTCTAGTCCCGGCGTCCCCCACGCTAATTTTCAAGGTCATTTCAATGGTTGTGAATGTCTGACTGATAAACACACTACCAAGTTGCGTGCAGGCGTGGCTAGGTTTGCAAAGCCATTCCCTATCTCACAATAACGTGTCTTTAAATACGCGCTGTCGCACTGAAAACAAAAATCTCTGTTAAACAATTGGCTTGTGTGTGAAGTTTATTTCGAGGGGCTGCCTTACCACAAATTAAAATTAATCGTCATCTTAAGTCTCTATACTACAGATGATGGAACATTTCCTTCGTAAAGTGGCATTTGTATAAGGTGATAGTGAAAAAAATGAAGTCACAAATGGGTCAGAAATGTGTACAGATTTCCAAATTTGGTTGGGCTGTTGTGATTTTAAGGTGCGTACAGGGAACTATATAATCAAGTCTGGTATTTACTATGAGCATCTTCCAAATATGAACTCGAAAGAGTTTAAACAAAAATCGATCATTTCAAGGAAACTGGACCAATGTATAGATTTTAAATGACTGCAATTGGCTA